AGTGAGGTCTAGTGGGGGTGGGCTGGGGGAACAAATAGGGGGATTGGGTCTCCATGAGCTGGGGCAGGGGCAGTAGCTCCATGAAAAGCACCTTTCCACACTGCTCCCACCTCCCAGCCACCCCAGGAAGCATGACCAGCACCCTCACACCAATCTCAAATCCCAATTTATTAAACAGGAGGCCTTCTTTAATTTACTTCCTCTTTATTTCTTTTTACTTTTTAAAATTTCTTTTTATTTTATCCTTCAGTGGCTGGCTGCCTTCATTTCACCACCTTTCCCTCATCCTCATTTCCTTTTCACCTCCCATTTCATTATGCACTCCCATGCCATTCACTCTCCACCTCCCAGCTTCATGTTCCCATCGCCTTGAACCTATCTTTTGTGCATCCCCTGCATTAGCATCTTAAAGTGGTTTTAAGCACTCATTTTGTGGCTCAAAGTTACACCACTCCAGGGCAGGATCATTTCTGATCCCTGCTACACAGTTCCTGTTCCATGAAAGTGTGACCACTGCCTATAGAGGTGCCACCCAAGTTAAGGTCCATTAGTATCCCAGGATCTCTTACACTGCCCATAGAGCAGGGGTAGAAGCCTGTTCTGGCTCACCAGCCCTGTAGAGCAGGGGTGGGAAATTATTTTGGGCGGAGGGCTGCTTACTGAGTTTTGGCAAGCCATCGAGGGCCACATGATAGGCAGCCAGGGGCAGATAAATATCAATTTTCTAAATGTTTTAGGGGCCCTGTGGGCCAGATAGAATGGCCTGGTGGGCTGCATTTTGCCCACCCCTGCTGTAGAGGCAAGTCACTGCTGTAGCTCTTAGTCAAGCCCCTACTAACCAGGCCTCTAGAGGCAAGTCACAGCTGTGCAGGTGGAGGTCATTCAGAGAGAGGTTTTAGCTGTCAGGTGCGACTGCTCCAAACTCAAGCTAGCACTAGCAGGGATCAGCATTTGAGGAGCTCAGACTACAGTGTGTAACAAGGCTCTGATATGGCTTCTTTGGAATCAATTTAAGTGTGTCTGCACAGGGGAAACAGCATCCACTTAACTCAATTTGTTGCTAAATCAGTTCAGTTTAATCAGTGGCTCTGCAGTGACTAGCCCTTAGTTTACTTTCTCTGAGCAAAGATCTTTAATCCAGAGACTGAGGCCAGTGTACCCTGAAGAGGTTGATACGGCTATGCTGTTTAGATTGTGCTGCTGAATGACATTGCTAGCTGGCAGAAAAGCTAAAGCAGATGCAGTTAAATTAGCAAAATTGTTTTTTGCCGCTATTGCTGACTGTTTGAAGAAGTGGAAATAAGCTATGTCCAGTTGTTTCTCCACTAGGAGGGAGCCACATCTTTGGAAATCGTTCTGATGTGGACAAGGCCAGAGTAAAATGGATAGTTTTGGAGACGTTTCTTTAGAAGAGCTGTGCTTTGGGTTACACGTGTGACCCTGGCGGGGCTGTTTGCTGAGTGGCTTCTTTAGAATTCCCCACTTCGAGTCACCAAAACGTGTGGGATTGTTAGAAGTGCTCAGAGATGGCTTCAGCCCATTGGCTTGGGCTCGGTCTACACGGTATATCTGAGAGCTGGACTGCCTTACAGGGTGGACTGGTGTGAAAAGAAAAATGAAGTGAAATTCACCCCGCTCCAGGATGGTCCCATGCTTAGAGAGAGCCTGCTGAGTGTGCTGAGGGTTAGGGTGTTCATTTTCCTACTGGTTAAAAATTTGCCAGGCCACCTCTGCTGGTGTGACTGTCATCTGGAAGTGTGTGTGTGCGTGAGTTTTTTTTTTTTTTTTTAATTTATTGCCAGCAAAGCTATCCCTGTATAGCCCCTGTGTAGATGGAATGATTCTGCTTCAAGCTGCCTCCTGCTGGTATAGCTGTTCCCTGTCCTGTACAGGAAAAGATGTATTGATAAAAGCACTTTCCTACTGACATGCTTGGGTTGATGCTGGATGAGTGATACCATTTGAACTGTGGTATAGTCAAGGCAGGAAAACTTTCCAGAGTGAGCAAAGGCTTGCCAAAGCAGCTGGTCAGGCTAATCCTGAATGCTTTGGAGAAGCCCACTGAAATTGCCTAATTAGGCGTAAAAAATGGCTTGTCAAATACTGGACCCTATGCCCTTAGAAACAAACTTAGGAGTTAAGGTCCTATATCTGAAAGAGAATAGATAAACAGAGTTAAGCATTATTGAATGCTAGGATATCTAGGGGAGCTAGGCACCTCCACAGGTGACTGTGGATGGTCTGGAGAGGGCTGGGAACATGACTGTTGCATTACTGCTTAGAACTGGTTTGAAGGTAGGATACAGGGCATTTCCACAAAGGAAGCCTCAGAGCCTCTGCCTCCCAGCATCCTCATGCCCCTTTCTTTCAGAGGGGAGACACTGCTGCCTTCTTCTCTTGACTGCTGCCCCCCACAGCCCTTGATATACCAGGCAAAGTTAGTTTAGTTAACCAGAAAACTAGAATTCCTGGAAGGAGGTGAGGAATTTGAGTCACTGAAATGGGTGACTTGCATAGAGCAATAAGAGAGTACCTTTGAGGAGGGGTGCTAATTGCCATGCCATTATTTTTGCAGGTAACTTTGAAATCAGGCACAAATATATTATACTGGAGAACAACGGGGATTCTCATGGGGTCAAAAGTGGTGAAACCTGTCCTAGTAAAAAACATCACAATTGAAGGTAGGAGAGGTTGAGCTGTTAATCTAAGTCAGTTGTCCATTGTAGTGATAACCCTGTTATTACTATCTCTGTCTTCAAAGGCAAATGTCTTGGTTTGGGAAAGAGCATTTTTCATTATCATAACCACAGTACAGGCAACCCCTGCTTATCACTCTTAATTGGTTCCCAAAAAACTGAGAGTTAAGCAGAAATAGTGTTAAGTGAAACCGAAATTTTTTGACGAACCAAGGTGGCGACTGTGAGTTATAACGGAACTCGCTGAGCGCTAAGTGGAATTGGGTATCAATGTAAAATGAGCGTTATAATGAAATAGCGCTAAGCGAAAGAGCGTTAAGCAGGGGTTGCCGGTAAACTCTATGTATGTTCCCAAATCTCTAGAAACAAAGATATGAGAAATATGTTATGGGGGATTAATTGGCCAATGGTGACATCTGCTGGGCAGGACTGGAATAGCAAGAAGAAGACGAAAAAAGTTTTAAAAAGGTCTGTTCTTCAGAATTAACTGAAAGGGCTCTTCCAGAATGATTATGGTTCAGTCATCTTTAAATAAACCATTTAATTATTCTGGAATAGTCATTTAGGTTAATTTTGAAGTTTAAACAGACGGAGTGGAATATAATGGTATTCAGATGGAATATAATATGATGTTCATTCAGATTGAACTCTGATTGAGGTGAATGGCAGAAGGCAAGGCAGGGACTAACTTGTTCAGAAAGGCATAAGCTTTGAGGTGAATAGGCGTTTGACCTGGGTAAGACCTGAAGCACCGCACTCTTGGACAGCAAAGCCCAGGGGACTTAACCCAGCTGTGATTGTAGGTATTCGGTGATGGTATACATAGTGTTTATTTTCCCAAGATAGTGGGGTAGACAGGAGCGGTGGAGGATATGTCTCTGTATTTCTGTGTTTATTCAAGTGGTTTACCTCTTCTTTGCTTTACAGGAGTTGCGTATACATCTGAGTGCTTTCCATGCAAACCTGGTACGTTCACTGATAAACCAGGGTCTTCCAACTGCCAAGTGTGCCCAAGAAATACCTATTCAGAGAAAGGAGCTAAGGAATGTACCAAATGTAAAGAAGCAACACATTATGCAGGTACACAGCAGGAGATGAATAAAATCCATGAATATGTGAGTATGTGGGACAGTGGTCAGCGTTACAAGCTTGTGTGTAGGTCTGCATTTGCACAAGAATTGCTTTACCTACTACTAAAACGTAGTCAAGCAGGCTGGGACGCAAAGCGAAGATTAATGCGGTGCCTTTCTTAGATTCTGGGGGGGTGGGATTTCTGTTGGTAGGTTATAATGGCCCCACAGTGGAAGTTGGCTAGGGTACTTCCATACTTTAAAAGAAAGGAACATGAGCTCCACAATAGTTTTGGCTTGAGTTTTCTTCTGCATGATGATAGCAATTGCATGGTGCTGTCTAATACCAGTTTGGGGCCTTGGTTCATTCCAGACCCAGTGGCAACTCCTGACCCATCCACATGTAAATGTTTCCTGGAGTCTCTCATCCATATACTCCTCTTGCCCACCTACCCATCCCTGCTTGTCATATCTGGTAGAATGGAGCCCGTGATGGTTTAGCTGCAAGTTGGGCATGAAAGAGACCCATCAAAACTCTTTTGTTTCCCCAGCCATGGTGGCTGGAAAGCATTGGATAAAATGGACCAGATTCATCCATGGCATAACAGCATTGAAATCAGAGGTGCTGGTGTAGTTATATCAGGGATCATGTCAGAATCATGTCTGTTTCAGGCAGCAATTTCCAGGATACTGGGGACTATATTTTGTTTTGGACACAAGAGTTTGATGGTGTTTCCCAAGTAAAATATTGCAGGATTTCCTTTTGTACAAAAGTTGTTCCAAATTGTCCTTTTGAATGTTTTTCAAGGACTGGTTTATGTTTGATGCATGTACTGGGCATCTACAGCATATTTATAATAATACTAGCCTTATTCTGTGTGTCTGGTGCACTCTGATTGGTTGTCTTGGCAGCCAATCACAATGCTTACTGAAACAACCAATCACAGTGCTCCTGACAGACAGAACTAGTGTGTTATTATTATAGATCCTGAGAAGTTTCAAACAGATGTGCAGGCAAGTCAGAGCTAGAATGAAGCACTGGGCCCCCCCGCTGTGGAGCGGGCAGGCTCCACTGACGGACAAAAAGTGGTGAGGGCCCGATCCTTTTTTATTTTCCTGGAGCCTGCTCAACTCTCCCACAGCCAGGAGGTGATCTGCCAGTGGGTCCTGAGCTGCAGGGCAGCTCAGTGCTTCCCTTCATGG